TTAGCAACACAGACAGTGAAAGATGAGGACGTGCGCGGGACAAGTAGCAACACAGACATGCAAGCACGCACGCACGCACGCACGCAAGCAAGCAAGCAAGCAAGCAAGCAAGCAAGCAAACAAGCAGCTAAACAAACACACACACACACATACAAATTCACGCACCGTGTGGTAGCACATCATAATCTCTGGGACGTTGCACATGAGGTTGTCCAGCCAGAGGTCCATGCCAGTGAGCACGTTGATGGGCTGTCCGTCCTCCCGCAGCTTCAGGCTGATGGCCGGCACGGGCTTCTCGCCATCGCCAAAGATGGCAAGGTCAGACGTGACGACAGAGCGGATGTCGTGGAAGGACCACAGGTGGTCGTGTGTCTGCCAATATGAGCGGACAGGAAGACGCTGCTCCGCCTGTCCAACAACCGTCGACAGCAGCAGTTGGTTTGCCTCATGCCCACCACTACCGCTACCGCTGTTGCCACTGCTGTTGTCAATGCTGGCGCTGGTGGTATTCGTGTCCTCGTTTGATGGGGGAGGTGGCAGGGAGAGCGATGCCGGAAGGTGTGCAAGCGACGTGGATGTCTGTGACGACGAGTTGCTTCTCGCTGATGGCGGTGTCGCTGTTAGGTGTGCAAGCGACGTGGATGTCTGTGACGACGAGTTGCTTCTCGCTGATGGCGGTGTCGCTGTTCCCGACGACACCGCACCATCGTGCACAGCGCTGCTGCCGTGATCCAAACTACCATTACCACCACCACCATCATCGCTACCAGTGCCACCGTTGTTTGAATCATTGGCATGATGCAGCGGCGTGAATGGAAGAGGAATGGGGACTTGGTCGCGCTGGCTCACGTGTGAGAGAGGAAGATACTCCAGCTGTGGCAGTGCCGGCAAGTTACGGGAAGGCTGCTGTCGCTGCCGCTGTCGATGCTCGTGTTGCTGCTCGTGTTGCCTGTGTGTACTTCCAGCTGTGCCAGGGGTGCTACCACTGCCGCTGCTGCTGCTGCTGCTGTTGTGAGCGGTGGGAGTGGTTGCGCTGCTGCTTGCGTGACTCGCAATGGTTACCGCGTCGTCGATATCATCGCCATCGGCCGTGTGCGAGAGCGCCAGCTGGGAGCGAAAGGTGCGTGGGCTGGCTGCTTGCGCAAGCCGAAGCAACTGCGCCTCGCTGCCCACTGAAAGCTGTCGCTGCCGGTGCTGTTGGCCGTGGCGGTCCTGCGCAAGCGGGTTGAAGTCGTCGACAAGCATGGCGCCATCAACGCGGTGGATGGCGAAGCTGAACCCGTCTCGTGGCCGCAGCATCGCCGTGAGCAGCCGCTTCATCACCTCGCTGTTGCCGATAAAGTCAAGCGGCTTGATGGCCGGCCACGCATTGACGTGCGAGTCTGCGATCCGCAAGCTGCTGTCTCGCGCATGCTCCCACATCTCAAACTCGGCGTCGTCATTGTCGTTGTCAGCGTGGTTGTGGGCTTCACCATCACGATGGTTACTGGTGCCGTTGTTGGCATTGTTCCCGCTGTTGCCGTTGTTGCTGTGGCGGGCATGAGGACGGGTGTATGTGCCGTTTGCACCAGTGTTTGATCTGGGAAGGCTAACGTCACCAACACCTTTGCAGCCATTATGGCCAACGTACATCTGTTGCCTGCTCATCTGCGCGCCACCGTCGTCATCTTCCTCCTCAATCCCTACACATATGACCATCAGGGGCAAGTATTTGGGGGGGGGGGGTTGCTGTAAGTCTGATGAAAGAAGACGGACAATACACAGAGGGGAGCTGGCGGAGGATCGTTCGAGTGTGCGCGAAGTGCAGACGCGCCAGCACACACAGAGAGGAAGCATACACACACAGAGATGCATACACGTACACACGGAAACATGCACACACACACAAAGATGCATACACACACACACACACACACACAAAGATGCATACACACACAGAGATGCATACACGTACACACGGAAACATGTACACACACACACACGCGCGCGCGCGCAGAACGTACAGGATGGCTGAATGTCGCCGTTTGAGGAAGGCAGATGAACGGAACTTGAAATGGAGGTGTAGCTGTGGGTGGCGTGTGATGTTGCTGGCGGAAGAGGAGAGGGAGATGGCGCCGGCAGTGGCGTCAATGCACCACGCATGCGATCCTCGTGTCGATCACGTTGTTGTCGCTGCAGCTGTCGACACTCTGGCGGGTGCTGCTGTGTGCCGCCATCGTGCTGGTTCGTGGTTGATGATGGCGGCAAGTCTTTGATGCGACACGTGGTTGCGCTTGGGTTGCTCTCGCTGCTCATCAGCCAAGGCGGGCGCGCAGGGGCCGACGACGACGAGGACGACGATGAGGACGACGAAGGCTCGCTCATCGCGTCGAGCGTGGTTGGTGCTGGTGTTTGTTGGTTGCTGTCGTGTTGTGTTTGTTGTGTGTCGTGGAAGGACGACGTGTGTTTGTGTGCTCAAACTGCGGAAGATTCCAGAACAACATCTCGAAATTTCGCCGGTGTGGCGTTGTGTGTGTGTGTGTGTTTGTGTGTGTGTGTGTGTGTGTGTGTGTGTGTGTGTGTGTGTGTGTGTGTGTGTGTGTGTGTGTGTGTGTGTGTGTGTGTGTGTGTGTGTGTGTGTGTGTGTGTGTGTGTGTGTGGGCGG